ATTAATGGAAGAGATCCGTTGATTTGGCTAAGGTAGGAAAGAATCTATTCTTTGTTTCCTAAAGAAAAATTGCATTAATGAGAGAGATCCGTTGATTTGGCTAAGGTAGGTAAGAATCTATTATTTGTTTCCTAAAGCAAATTGCATTAATGGGAGAGATCCGTTGACTTGGCTAAGGTAGGAAAGAATCTATTATTTGTTTGCTAAAGCAAATTGCATTAAAGAAAGAGATCCGTTGATTTGGCTAAGGTAGGAAAGAATCTATTATTTATTTCCTAAAGCAAATTGCATTAATGGGAGAGATCCGTTGATTTGGCTAAGGTAGGAAAGAATCTATTATTTGTTTGCTAAAGGAAATTGCATTAATGAAAGAGATCTGTTGATTTGGCTAAGGTAGGAAAGAATCTATTATTTGTTTCCTAAAGAAAATTGCATTAATGAGAGAGATTTGTTGATTTGGCTAAGGTAGGCGGTTTTTGCGGTTCTTGGCGGCTCAGTGTGAGGTGGGGCGAGGTACAAAAAAATATCATGGAAGGTGAGACGGAAAAAAACCTGGGAGGTGGGAGTTGTCCCTGGTTAACCTACGAAATTTCATAGATTTTTTTAGGACGAAAAAAAACCAGTGGAGGTGGGACGAAAATTGGCCGGCGGAGACTACCACCTCCCACTACTGACTTTTTTTCGTCCGGTTTTATTTCATCCCACCTCCCACTACTGACTTTTTTCTTAATTAATAACTCCACCCTCCTGCTGGTTTTTTTCTAATCTAATTCAATTTATTGATCCTTTCTTAGTCACAATGCACTTACATGTAGCCCCGACAGATCGGTTTCCATATGAAATAAAACACAATCATCAATCAATCATTGGTTCTCTTTTATAGGACTTGTTGCCATACATGAACCATACGATAACTTCCATATACAAAATAAAGGGAAACACAATCAGGTTTCCTTCCTTTCCAAAGTTCTAGCCACCGACCCCCTCCCCAGACCGCGTTCTTTTTCCCATGCCACCATCGACAATCTGCTCTCCCATTTCCTCGTCCTCCCCACGTTGTGAAGTTCCAACGCACAACTACACAAACACCAGTGACATAGAAAACCACCGCCTCCTCCTCCGCGCCACCGCCTACTCTATTTTTCCCCTTTGTGTGGCGACCTGAATGGAAGGCGGTGGATCTGGGATGCGCCTGGTTCCACAAGACGTCAGGCGTAAGGAAGGATGGAAAACCACCGGCTGGATGGCCAAGGGTGGCCCATTGAAGGTTTGAAACCTCCTATGGCGTAATTTTGTGCAACCTGCATGAAGATTGTAGGAGCTATCCATGTGGTCGTTCCATCGGCAACAAGTACGTATTGGATAGCACATAATTTGAAATTCTTGACGGAGTTGACTGACCATGACTTTGACTCTCACAATGTTGCATGTTCTTCGGAGTTGACTGGTGGCGTTTTTAGGTTATTACTACCATGAAGATGAGAGGAACATCGAGAAAAATCCTTTCCCTAAAAAATGGATGGGAGGAATATCTTGGTCTATGATTTCATGATGAATAGGACCCTGAGAAAGCAGTGGATGATGCCCCGTTGATTCTCTTTGAATTCGGCTACTGTGGGAATGTGTATAGTCAGGCTTGGAGTGAGCGCTCCATGCATGTGTGTCACTGGCACTCAGAGATTGGTTGTGCCGCTCTTGTGAGGGTGTGTGGGAGTGGTGTGCTCGAGACACGCCAATCTCGTGAGCAGGTGCGGAGATGAGTTGCACAAGAGAAACATTGGTGGGATGAACCCAAACCTTTATTTTTTTTTCTAATATGAATTATCCTTCCTTCTTAGAAAAACATGTTTTGAGTAAAGTTATCTTTACTATAGACATATATTGACAATTAATCAAGTATCAACATCATTGCATGCTTATTGCGTGGAATGTGTGTCCCAATGTTGACAGAAGGTATAAAAAGATTGTCTTGGAATTATTATTTTCTAGGGAAGATATTGCCCTGAATTCTCATTTCTCATCAGAAATTTAGTATCCATTTTCGTTGATCTTATTTGCAACATGTACAAGTCAGTAATAATCTAAGGGGGTGCCCTACCGGAGAAGATTATGATAGTTGGACAAGAAACTTGGTACTGTCGTGCAAGGTAGAGGTAGGAGAAATAGAAGATAAAAGCATGCATGGTGGGAGAAGGAAGTCGAGTGTCGCGTGGTAGCTCAGACATGGAGTGTGGAAGAAAGACAATGACGAGATGTATGTACCTACTAGATCATGACCATGAGATATCATCCCATAAAAATGGCCTTTGACTCTCATGTTACATGAATTTTCTCTTTGTATATATATATTTGTTAGTCCGTGGCAACGCACGGACACTTAGCTAGTAATTCATGTTTATTAAAAGCTCGAAAGCTAAACGTTGAGGTTGAGCCCATCAACAAAAGTGAAAACCGGCCGGAGTACCAGCCCACTTAGCCATGAACCGCAAAATGATGTACGCGTACGTACGTCTTACAACAACTGGTGTTTCCCTCAAAAAAAAAGAAAAACTGATGTACTACAGTGTCTCAAAAAGAAACTACAGTGTCTCAAATAAAAATTGATGTACTAGTACGTGGTACAGCAAGGCCGACTGCAGCACACATGATGTGCTACTCAACGAGCGATGTAAGTACGTACGTGCAGGTTAATGAGGCAACTGTCTGCCGCGTGAGGATAGCGCATTTACTCGACGGAAACTGGATCGGTCGGGCCATGGAATTAACTCCCAAATCCCAATCCACCGTGCATACCATCCCAATCTTGTGGCCGGCCAACAAGATGCGTGCTGTAAGTTGCAACGAGATGCACACCAACGCAAACGCTTCACTGTGTCCTGGCCGATTCTAGCTTTCGGATCACAAATTTTCTATTGGAAAATGTAACCATTTCATCGTACTGTACTGTATAATCTGGGTAAACTAACTCTATACACGCATTCTGCAACAATGTGGATAAATCATTCACAGCAGCAGCCAGTGACGTTTCATTTCGTGACAAAACTAAGCAGAAGAAAAGACAAGGCAGCGGTTTCTCTGGTATATGTATCATCGCTTCCTTCCGGAGACGGTCTTCTTGACGGCGCCGACGGAGACCAGGAAGTCATCGAGCGACGAGAGGGTCTTCATGTCGTCCGGCGGGAAGTAGCTGGCCGCCTTGCCCATGAGCGACGCGAAAATGAGGGAGAGGCCGGGCGAGGCCGCGGGGCGGTCCGGGAGGAACTCGTCGAGGAAGGCGAAGGCGGCCAGGAAGTCAGACCGGCTCGCGTTGATCGGGGCCGCGAAGTGCGCCGGGATGATCCGCCGGAACGGCCAGTCCGCGGCGATCCTGTCCACCCAGTCCCTCACCTGCACAACAAGCGGGTGATGTTAGCATGCCATGAAGGAATGACTGAAGTGTAACCATTTAGTCTAGTGCTAGCTATGACAAAACATACCTTCTCTGGAACTTTGCTGAAAACGAGCGTCTTCACGATTGGTGAGACGATCAGTTTCTGTGACATTTGAGCGAAGCTCGCGTTGGGCTCGAGGAGATTTGAGGGACCAAGGAACAGTATTTGAAGTACCATCCTCTCCCATCCTGTTGGAACATAGACGAGGTTAAAGATAATCCTGTCGATATTGTTGATGCAAATATACAAGATTGTTGGTACATCAACATATGATTTGTGCTATGCAACTAGTAGCAATTACAATGTTGCTTCTATCTGTCACGTTAAAGCTTCAAACTGAAAGTTAACAGGTTTGATCATTGGCAATCTTGAAACAATACACATGATCAGGATTGATGATGTACATATCAAGAATACAATGACAAGATAGTAGGAATGATGGTATTCCTGAACGCAGGAAGATAGTAGGCAAATGAGAAAACCCAATCACAAGCGCGTGTACCCGGCGTACTCTACTACGAGTACTTTCTTGATTCTAGGACATGGAATCGCTGAGGACAGAGATTGTCATGTAAACAACATTCAGATACACAAAGCCTAAGCAACAAGAACATAAACAATACACCAATACTGGCAAGATGACCTTCCTACTTAATGTTGCTGCTTTTCAAATTCAAAAAGGCTAACTGAAGTGAATAAGTTAATACGGCCAAGTTTTAGCACTAACCTTTTTTCTGAGCAGTACATACCTAGATGCCTACATGGAAATCAATCTAGTGTTCTACTACACTACCTTATTCCAAACATGCATTCTACATTTTACACATTCCAGATAATTCTTGTACCGTTGTGATAACAATTAGTACAGAATGGAAGCATTTCCACGATTAGACTGCAGTTAAAACGTTAGACTGCTGAATGTTGCCCCTTTCCAAAATGTGGGAAAAAATAACTGAAAAAAGCAAATATGGACAAGTTTGTGAAAACACTTCTCTGGATGAGCATACCTAGACGGGAAACAATCTTGCCAAGGTGTTACTACTACACTACCTCAATTCTAACATGAAGTGCAGATCTCACTGCTTCCAGCTAATTCTTGTTCAGAAATGGCATCAAACTGTATTTACCTGTCTGCCGGGTAAGCTTGTTGTCCTCAACGGGATCATCAGGAACCTCTCTCCCTTTGCTCAATATCTTAACTGCCAAGCCGTTCTTGGCAGCTGCCAACAAGGACTCTTTGCTGATGCAATCGGGCGGCTGCCGAGGGACAAAGATGACAGCATCCGTGACCAGCAATGTCCTGGAAGGCTTATGGTAGAACGCCACCTCCACATACGGCCCAATCCCTGAACGCACCCAATTTACAGAGGCATAATTATCATGTATAGTATGCATCAATGCGTTCACGACGGTGTTCAGAGATGAGAGTGGGCGGTGAGGAAGTGGGAATACCAACTTCCGGCGAGCTGAGCACCTTCTGCTCGATCTCGGCGGCCCAGGGCGTGGCGTCGTCCTCGTCCTCGAGGGGCTTGGAGCGGAAGACCCCGAAGAACTCGAGCGGCAGGTTGACGGGCCAGCTCCACTGCCGCGGCGCCACCCACACCTGCGCCCTGGGGAACTTCCTGGAGAAGGGCCCGAGGAAGACCTTGTGCTCGTACGCGAAGGTCGGCAGCACGATGTGCTCCACCGGCGCGCCCAGCTCCTTGATCAGCTGCGCATGGCATGGCGCCGGATTAATGTCGAACAGGAGCCGCGCGAACTGTTGCTTCCTTTGCAGAAACTGAAGCGTACCTGGATGCACTCCTTGGTGGGGGCGATGGGGGCGTGCACCCAGAGCCCGCCGGAGCGGAGCTTGACGACGGTCATGCGGGTGTTGGTGGAGACGCTGCTGAAGCCCAGCGCCTGCTCCTGCTCGAACAGCCATACGCTGCCCTTCACCGCCTGCATTCGGAGAGGAGCTCAGACTCCAGAGAGCAAGCGAAGTGAGGCGAGAGAGGATCAGGCTGAGGCGATTGTCTTTTACGTACCTCGGTGCGGGTGGTGCGGCGGTTGAGGAAGGGGCCGAGCGGGAAGGGGAAGCCGGTGAAGTTGAAGTAGAACCGGGACGACGACGAGGAGGAGGCGCTGCTGGCTTCGTCGGTGGTTGAGGAGGCCGAGACGGCGAGGCGCGGCCTGCGGAGGGCGTGGGGCGGCGCGGCGTGGTGGTGGCGGCAGGGCGCGCAGGGATGCGGGCGCGGCGTCGCGCGCAGCGGGCGCGGGGCGGAGGCGACGGATGTGGCTGCCATTCGTTTGGGCGAGCTCGGCCGGAGGGAGCTCGCGGCTGGAGAAGTTCGAAGATGGGCCCGGGAGAGAGTGAGAGGTGTGGTGCACCTGGGTTCGGACGGATGGCTGGATTGGGGGACGCGTGGAGACGCGCCGGCCGTTGAGTTTGCAGATGGTTCTAGGACCTGCAACCCCGAGACTGGTGATACGGGCGATCCGAAATGTGGTGAATTCTCTTCTCCATGCGCAGAGCCGCACCTACGCTGCTTTTGTAACTACTAGATGACTCGTTGCGTCAATGGCGCAAAGGTCAAGAGGGAGCCAAGTATTGTGAGAATATTTAGACACTTAAGTCGAAAACCAAATGTGGCCAACACTCCCTCATTTTCTGCTTGGAAGCCGTCTTTTCTCACCGGATCTAACATAGATACATGATTCTTCAAGACCAAATTTCAAAGAAAATATAAAGCATGCAAGGTTTTAAGTTGTACTATTGAGACCATACCACCATATCTTCATTTAGTTTTTTTGGAAATCTAAAGGTCTAAGAGGATGGTACATGTGAGAAGATGTGAATCCACAACAAAAAACTAAACTAACTTCCAAACAAAAATTTCAAGTTTGGAAGCCACAAAGAAGCAGCCCAGATCTCTCGTTGTAGTGCAGGTACATGTCCTTAATCCTGCATCCACATCCCATAATTTTTCAACACCTAAATCCATGAAAACCAATCGAAGGAAATCATGGCAGAAACATGCGTCGTGACTTACGTCTCCAAGGACTTCTTGGCATTATTGTGCAGGTTGGACATAACAATCCTCGCTGCGAGCTGCAGAAGAACCACACAGGCACCTTTCTTCACCATGCCCTTGGGGAGGAGGGGGCAACACTTGCAGCGTGGTGACAAGGCTTTGTGAACGCCGCCGGCGAGAGCGCGCATCGGAGGGCGTCGAGAGTGGCAGCTGCCTCCGCCTCGGCGCGAGCGTAGTGGCCGCGCGACTCGAGGCAGCACACGAAGCGGTCATGCTGGAGCATTACGCTATGCACAGATGTGTAGGCAAGTAACAAAGATTGGTCAAAGGGAAACAAATTATCCAAAAGAAGAAAGGTTTTATATATTTTCAGCGTACCCAGTCATAAAATCAGATGCTTTTTGATTAACAAAATGAACACACAATTAAGTGGGCATAGGAGGTGTACAATCATGTACTGACAAAAATCAGAGAGGTTAGATTATGTTCAAATGAGATAAATCATCAAGGTTCCAATGATAGAAAACGTTGGGCCCGATGCACTGATTAATGTTATAGCACACAAGCAAGCTAGACATCTTCGTCTGGAGCGAATACTTTCTTCTTCCTATATTATCAAAGGTGTCTGAAAGTATGAAGACTGGAATCAAAAAATAACAGGAGACAAAACATAAGTAAGCACTCATTGCAATGTACCTGATCAATCGGTATTAGGTTGTGAAACAAGGGCAGGCAAAAAGAAATGAAAAATAAGATAATAATTGATGTAGCCTTACTATACCGGCCATTGAATCGAATCACCAACCAAGATCTTTAATTTTTTGATGAATGCTTGTTGGGTTCTAAAGAAGGGTGAAAGGAACCTTAGCAGAAGACGATGCCTATCCATTGGTTTTACAACTTCCGTCAAACTACATTAGCATGATATCTATGTGAGGTTCACGCATTCAAAAATATGGCTAGCTATAATTCTATGGTCTGTAATTCTACAGAACCAGATAAATGTTTTGGAATGGCTAAAGATAACAAGAAAAACAAAATTAGTAAATTTCGGCCAACAAAGCAGAAGTCCGGGATTACTGATTTGGTGTCAGCCTATTTCTTAAATCACAAAGTAGCATGGCTAGACAACCTTTCTTTGAGCAAAGTGAGCATAACAGCCACCTTTAAATGCAATTATGAAGGAAAATTGGCAACCTAACTATAATTGCATAACAACTTATTTTCCAGCAGAAAATACATCATTTCATAGGCCAACCTGGAAGCAAGGATTCACCTTAAATGAAGAAGGAAGCCGAACACACCCACATTATAGCAGCAACAAGAGAACTTCCAAGAATTTATAGACTATAAAAACTCACAGAAACTCCACTATGTGGGACAAACTCACAATTGGTGAGGTTGGTGAGCAATTGCATAGGGACACGGTTAAGCAAGCAAACTCAAGAACCTGATTCTAAAAATTGGCAAGCATGAGCTATTACAATTGGCGAGTGTGAAATATTAGATGCTAAGCAGGCAAATTCAACAAGATGATTCTAACAACTACCTCTAGGAAAGTAGTCTAGAATTCATGTAACATGTGGTGTTCTCTGAATAACTGAGAAAAACAGAGGAAACAATAGAAGACGGTAAGAAATAACAACTACCTCTAGGAAAGTAGTCTAGAATTCATGTAACATGTGGTGTTCTCTGAATAACTGAGAAAAACAGAGGAAACAATAGAAGATGGTAAGAAATAATTTTATATTGCATAATAAGAATACTTAATGAAGCATTGGGGCATAAGAATACATAAATGACTCCATGGTCAACTCTTTAGCAAGATCTGCACTTCAATCCAAAAGTAAGAGATGCCTGTTGCTGATCACTTGCTAAACGATGAAACATTCATACGGACATTATCACTCACTAACTGGTAAACTGGCACACAAAATACACATGCACGAGGTAATGGCTCTATGGGCGTCAAAAACATCACCAATCCATACCTGCACATGAATTGATGAACAAAGGTGAGGACACATGCGGCTGGCAAGGTAGGAGGAAGCATTGGCAGGTAAGGAGGGAACTGCAACCAAGGAGCTGAGTTTGTTTGCATTCTCAAATCACCGTGTTGATGTTAAATTTATTCCTGAAGATAGAACTAAGGCATCACAAAATATTTGAACGACTGGAGCGTAGAGGAATCTGGGAAGCTACATCAGTGTTCAGGTTCACCCATGAACGAAATGATATCACCCCCTACCAAATCCAGCAATCAGTTCAGTGCGGATGCACTAAACGCCAGAATTCGAACCTAGCCAAGCATAAATTTGCCATTCAACAAGAGAAAATTGAAATTATGGGCTGGAGGAAGTACGCACTGGGATGGTACTTCTCGACCAGCAGCATCACCATGCCATCCCTAGCTTATGCATTTTTTACAATGTCATCTTTGTGAAATAGAAGGAAGAGATTGGGATTCGGCACAGCCCATAGGGCGGCCGGGGGAGTGTTTATATATGCAGCCTCTAGGGCACGGCATAGCCGAGATTACATAGGTTGTTACAAGAGATAAGGAGATAACTACAAATATTAACAACCTCCTAATCTATAACAATATTCTGTTTAACATCCCCCCTCAATCTAAACTTCCCTCAACAAGGTTCAGATTGTATCTATTTGAGACAAACATTGTCTCAGCCAGTGGTTTTGTGAATATATCAGCAACTTGCTCTTTAGAAGAGATGAACCGAACATCTAGTGCCTTGGCTGCAACTCTCTCTCGGACAAAGTGAAAGTCTACTTCTATGTGCTTAGTCCTGGCATGAAATACTGGATTGGCAGATAGATAAGTAGCTCCCAAGTTATCACACCACAACACAGGTGGTCTTGCCATGAAAACCCCAAGTTCACCAAGGACTAATTGGATCCAGATTATCTCAGCTGTTCCATTTGCAAGTGCTTTATATTCAGACTCTGTGCTTGAGCGAGAAACCGTGGCTTGTTTCCCCGAACTCCAGGACACAAGATTAGGACCAAGAAAGACAGCAAAACCACCAGTAGATCTCCGATCATCACTGCACCCTGCCCAATCTGCATCAGAAAACAGCTCAACAGCATTGAAGGAGATTTCCTTATAGAGAGACCCATGCTCCGAGTATACTTTAAGTATCTCAAAATCCGTTTGGCTACTGAGAGATGTACAGTTGTGGGTGCATGAAGAAACTGGCAAACACGGTTTACTGCAAAGGATATATCTGGCCTGGTAAGTGTTAGATATTGAAGAGCACCAACCAGGCTACGATACTTGGTGCTATCATCTTGAGACAATGGCGTCCCACTCTCCTTGGTAAGCTTCTCGGCCGAAGACATGGGTGTGGTAGAGATATTGCAATTCTCCATATTTGCTCGATGAAGAATGTCGCCAATATACTTCTGTTGGGAAAGTACAATCCCCCCGGCGACGATCTCACCTCAACTCCAAGGAAGTAATGCAGGGGACCGAGGTCTTTGATAGCAAAGGAAGCCTGAAGATCAGCAAGCAACTTGGTGGTAGCAGTAGAAGACGAGCTGGCCACAATGATATCATCCACATAAACAAGCATAAACATGGTGACACGAGCATGATGAAAGACAAACAAGGAGGTATCCGCCTTAGACGCCACAAAACCAAGTTGAAGAAGCCGAGAACTGAGCCTGGAGTACCATGCTCGAGGAGCTTGTTTAAGACCATAGATTGCCTTCTTGAGCTTGCAAAGATGTCGTGGGGCCCTGGGATCCACAAAACCAGGTGGTTGTCGCATGTACACCTCTTCTTGAAGCACACCATGAAGAAAGGCGTTTTGGACATATAGCTGACGCAAACACCACCCACGAGAGACCGCAATGGAGAGAACCAAGCGAACAGTGACCGGTTTGACGACAGGACTGAAGGTATCATCATAGTCC